ACCGACATTAGACTGGTCACATCCTCAATCAATCCACAAAGTTAAAGCAAGTTTCAAGAAAATTCAAGTAACTTCACAGACTTTAAGGAATTTATAAGACTTGGCCTTTAAAACACAGAGTGCTGCTCAGGGGATTATACCAGAGCTGGTGTTCCTTTATACTATGCTATATTTTCAATCAGAGCCAGTATGTGAAATATTGATATTAATAAATACTTCTCCATAAGCTTACCTATCTAATATTCAAACACTGCTATCAGGTAAATGCAAGCTCAAGACAGTGTTGTGTGTGTTTAGAAAATCCTAAGTTGTCTCAAAGTCTGAAGGTTATCTTTTCCTCCTCTCTCTCGTTTAGTCTCACATTCAAATGGTTCTGCTGTTTTTTACTTTTACGTGAAGGCTCTTGTCTGTTCAGATGGACTTTTGAATTAAAATGCTGAGTGGTACTGTAAGTCACCTCCAAACTACTGCAACTTCTCCTGCTTTAATGATACTCTTATCCTTCCATTCAAGTTAAAACACAGTGTGTCAGGGTGGGATAAAGTTTTAAGAAAATGTGGGCTCCATTTAGCATCATGTACTGAACGCAATTCTGATCACGCTGTTAAGACATGTTCTTATACTGTATTTCAGAGTGGTGCCCTATCTAGGAATGGCGTTTGACACCTTGCTAAAAGGCCATCAGGGAAAAGCCATTAAACACTTTACATGGCCTCTTGCCCTCTAACTCACTGACCTCTGAAACAATGTTTTTCATACACAGAACTATAGCAGAAAGAGGCTGAAGTTCAATGCAAGAAAAAAAAAACAGTGCGAGTGGGAGACACTATCGATACACAGCCTGACTTTTGTTCCAGACACTTTAGCTTCAGCAGCTGAAGATACTCTCTCTCACCAAGATGAAGGAAGTGTTTTGCTAATACACCAGAGAGTGAACTGCAGCAGCTGGCACCACGTGCGCTTGTGCTGCAGGGTGGAGAGGCAGAGGTGATGAAGAGAGCTGGGATAGGAACATTTAAATTACTGCAACTACAGTGGCAGAGCTCTTGAGTCACTGCCTAGCGGCAGAACAAGAAGGAGGAGTGGGAGAAGTCCCCTGGGGACTACAGATCTTGGCTCCACAGAAGGAGCAAGCCAGACTGAAGAAGGCTACATTTTAATACCCTTGCTATTTTCAGAGCTCAGTAGCTTTCCAATGCCTTTTATGAGTAAAGTTGTTATAATGAAAAACTCCTTTATAAAAATTATCTTATCCAACTTTCCAGAACACTGTCTGTGAAGGATTTAAAGCAGAAGGAAGTGTTCTTAATCCACTGGACAATCTGAGCAAAGCAGGGTAAAGAAGACTTGGGAGATCCCAGGAGCGGATTTCAAGGCTTTGGATTGTAGAGCTCCACAAGGGGAGGACTCTTCTAAGAAGTCTTCTGCTAAACACCTGGAACAGACTGTGGGAACTATCAGCAATTACAAGTAACTGATTCAGAAGCAAAAAGTAAAAAAGGAGTTCAACACGTCAAGGGGATATGGTATCAAGACAGCAGCACAGTCCTGAGAAGACCTCCACAAACAGGGGAAGTAATCCCTCAATATTCCTTGGAAGAGTTATATCAAGTGCCCACACTGGAACACTTTAATGCTCTATGTCTACACAACATTACAATACAGCTCATACGAAGCCAATAGATCCCTGTCCTGCAGACCAAGTGGCTGATTACTACTTATACAAAAGATCTAGTTCTCACTGGAAGAAAAAGCAGATCTCATCCAGAGGATTGATGCTATAAGCAGATACTACCAAGAAACTGTGTAAAGCCAGAATCAGGAAAGCAGTAGCTCAAAATTAACATCATGGAAGATTCTAGGAGCACACAATAATCTGTTGGGTCACAGGGCTTGTAAGAGAGAAATGCGCAGAGACTAACCAAGAGGGGTCTGCCAAAATGCCATTGGCAGGCTAATGTAACAATGGTCCAGGCAAGCGGAAGCCAGGACACAGCAACAATACGGAAAATATATAATAAACCAATTTCACATCCAGAGCAGATGCCCACAAACCACTTTGTATCCCTGAAGTTATGCAGAAAAATAATTCAGGATTGGAAGGGGCAAATGTTTGGGGGACTTTAGCTTGAACAAGTATAGTGGAACAGCTAAGTAACTACCCATTAAACAGACAGCATGAGGAAGGGAGTTAGGAAATCTTCTGTCTCAGGATCCCTAGTGTCCCAAGAACGCACACATATTAGCACCTACGCTGAGACTTGTGATGCCCTCCTATAGCTCTCACTCCAGGGTTCCGCAAAGCTGGGGGTCTGTGGCTCACTGCTCCTCAGGGCCTCTCTGGGAACAGGTACCCAGGCTCATGGCTCAGCCTTTGTGCAGACAAAAGCAGGAGCTGGAAACCTGCAGCACAAATTAACATGCATTCTCTGTAACAGCACCTGACTTCCAAACAGAGCTGCAGGCTGGTCTTTCCATTAGCTTCCTCTTGAATCAAATGTAAAACTTTTTGTTCTCATGCTTAAAACTCTACATAATTATTTCCCTTTCCCCCATGCTCCCTCCCCTGACAGCACTGAATCAATTCTCTTGAGAAAGCATTTGGTGTGCTGTGAGTCATCCCAACGTCAGTATGCATGTTTTGATTGATACACTCACCTTTTCCCTTAAACAGCCCTGTGTTTTTTTGTAGCGTTATCACCTTTGTCTGATCCAGATCACTCATTCACTGCATTTAAGCTTTCTTAAAAGTCCATAGTTGTTTTTATAGGCAATAGAAGGAAGTTATCTGTACAGAAGAAAATTATCTGTATCGTTTTTACGGTATCTGTATTAAGTGAAATAATAACGTAAACACCTCACTA